GCTGATAGTATCAAGAATTGGAATTCTTCAACAGATGAGTAGTGCTCGAACCATGGGAAAGTGCAGTGCAAGACAATGCTATGATCAAGACCCTGGGGAACATTAACACTTCAGGGACTTCCAGCAAAGCAGACTTAGAAGGATTGCTCAGAGAGGGACGAGGTAAACCAAGAGAAAATAGTTATACAGGAGCTAAGAGAGAGGAGAGTTTTCTGGAAATAGGGATAATTCATCATTGTCAGAGGCCAAAGAAAGGTCATGTTAAACAAGGACTGGTAAACTTCTGGTGGATTTCTTGATTAAGCTATTATTGATGACCCTTACTCCAGAGTGATTTGAGCATGTTGAGATGGTAAAAAAGCAGATGCTGTTTTCCAGATAGGAGCTAGGAATTGTGTAAATAGATATATAAAAAAATGTAAATATTTGAGCTTCTTAAAGCCCTCTGTTTGTTCATTTGGTTTATTATTTTGCCTTATCACCTTTAAACAAAAAGTTAGGCTCAACAGATTTTAATACCAGACTTCATATTAAGATGGGAATATTTAAATCATATACGTACAGTAGGATCTACTTTGTGGATCTGTTTTCAACATCTTCTTTTATTGATTCTATGCAACTAGCTGAGATTTGCCACTGTCCCCCTCAAAACAGAGTCAGTGTGGCCCGCCTTGCTCACTTCACATGGGAGGAAGTGTGAAGACCATGATCAGCTTCCATCCTGCCCTATGGTTTGCTGGAACAGCCATCACTAGCCTCCCCCTGAAAGGTCTCAAAAGGAGTCCCAAAATATCTTTCCTGACATAAAAATTGTAACATGAAGTATTAGAGTGAAAGTTTCCAGTTGCCTGTAAAATTCTTTATGGAAAAATACTGGTAGAAATTATAGGGAAAAAATATGATGCTATCTAAGAAGTTTAAAATCTCAGTCTAGTAAACAAATGCTACTTTAAAAGCAAGAAATCAAAAAGAATTTAAAAAATTAAGGAATATCTACTCTCTACTTTTTCAAATTATTTGAGTGGAAGATACTGTCCATGGCTTGATAATGGTAATAGAATTTCTGTGAATTAACTACATTTGAAATAAATACTGATATTTGTTCAAATGGCTAAGTAATGCTCAATTTTACATGCTTATTTGGGGCTTTGTCAGTTGGGGAAAGAAAGAACAAGTTAAATTGCCAGGAAATTAAGTTGGGTTAAAAGTACCATAATTTAATTATCTAATCATTGTGCAGACTGATAGTCAAGAAAATGGTGTGCCATGTAAGATGTTTTGCCGGCTATTCTACAACTCAATTACAGCCATCTTTAAGGACTAAGAGAGATTGGCCAGAGTTATATTTAATTTCACTGCAACTTTGACTTGTACTTATTTTCAGCCCGGTTTGGTAGGAATTGGCTGGAGCTATTTCAATGCAAGTGATCCTTATTTTTCTTTTTTGACCCTGTGATCTCTTCTTGAAAATAAATCTTTTCAATGACAGGCTTATTTAGAGTTGGTCTCAAATATTTTCCCCATTGCCTTGCTCGTCAGTTGGAAACCTGCCTGAATGACCCTGGGGAATAAAAAGATTCTGACTCTATGACAAGATCACTCCTTTTTGGGAAATGTATTCTGGTAACCATAGTTTTGATTCCCTATTAAGCAGTTGATTTTGCCATTAAGTTATTTATCTCTTATGAGTAAATACTATTTTATTTTATAGAAAATCCCCAAAGTAGGGTTTCAATAGGACAGCTGTATATTTCTGAATTATGGAAATGAAATTTGGGGGTAAGCACTTGAGGTAAGCAGTATGGCACTGTGTAGCATCAGACACCAAGACTCCTCTGGTCTTGCTGTTCCTTCACCCTCAGCATTCTACTTCATGCTTCTACCTCATGTCTCAAGAGAGCTATTTTTGTTGCTGCCATCTTGTCAGCATTCCAGCCAGCAAGAAGTAGGAAAGGCTGAAGAAAGGCAGGCCCTTTCCTGCTAAGGATGTTTCCAGGAAACTACACATGGTGTTTTCACATTTACATTCTATTGGGTGAAACTTAACCACAGAACCACATCTAGCTGCAATGGAGTCTGGGAAATGTAGTCTTTATTCGAGGTGACCACATACCCAGCAAACCCTGAGGGTTATATAACTAAGGGGAAAAGGGGAGACTGAATCCTGCAGAACAGCCGGTAGTCTCTGCCAACTTTCTTCTTCCTGCTCAGCTTGTCACATGATCCCCTCCATTAAACCTCCGTTTATGATTCTCTGACTTCACCAAGGATTTTTGGCTATTAGCCATCCCTTTCCTTCAGTTGTTAGAAAGATGACTGTTATGTTCTTGTCTATATATTTATATTTCTGTTCCTGATGTTTTTCTCATCTACTTAAGGACAAGGGTCTCATGTATCCCCAACCCAGTGCACGATTACACATCCTACCGGAATTCAATAAAATCATGACTGAAAGTAAGATGTACAGAAATTGGAGATAAAAATAAATTTAGGTGAAATTATTCTTGCCAGAATAAGGTGGATTTAGAAGTGTCATAAAATCTATCATGCCTTCCTGGGAAGCTGTTCTGCTCCACTGAACAAGTCTGCTGTGTGATGGCCTGTGGAGCTCTCTTCTGTCAGAGGCACTGAGGTTTCCCACTCATCAGTGAGATCAGAACAGGTCCTTTGCAGCCTGGAAGGTGAGACCTAAGGGACAATGCCCTTGGATATAAAAACCGGGAGAGTGCTGGGAAATATCTGTTCACCACAGCAGCTCTGGAACACTGCCTTTGTGACTGAATTCATTCTTTCAACGTACTGGGGAGAGATGTGAGAATGAGAATGAATGTGAATGAGTTGGTAAATCTGGCTTGTACATTTAATAGACAGATAAATGGAGGAAGCCTGCACCTAAAGATAATGACATTGCTAAACAGAAATCACTTTTCTGGTCTCGCCATTCTCTAGTGTTAAGCTCTTAATATTTATAAAGAGCTCAAAACTCCTGGAAACCTACACTTTAAAACATTTCTTTGTACATATATTTTTAGAAATATTTATTGACTGATATTTCCTATATCAAGCTATGATTGTTTTATGTACAAGTTAAAAGCCCATGTTTGTGGTAAACATTTCAATAATGGCCATTAATTAGTGCTGCAGGATAAAATACAGGATGCCCATCTTAAATTTGAAATCAGATAAAAAATGAGTTTTTTTAGTATATGTATGTCCTATGCAATATTTGGGACCTAATTATGCTAAAACATTATTTTTCTGAAATTCAGATTTAACTGGGTTTCCTGAATTTTGGTTTGCTAAATCTGGCAGCTCTCCCCTTAATGACTCAGGTCTCTCTCTGTCCCTGCCACTCTTTCACATGGCATTGTTGGTCCTCTTTCAAAGGTGGAGACTATTTCTCCACTCTGTTGAACAGAAGTCAGCTTTGTGACTTGCTTTGATTAACAAAATGCGGCAGAAGAGACATTGTGCAAATTGTGGCAGCGAGGTCTAGGCTTCTTCCGTGGGAATAAGCAACTGTC